CCCACCCCCCCCTCCCTCGCGCGAGCGGAGGCGCGGCCGTGCGCAGGTACGAAGAGGAGCTCAAGGCGCACATCGACGCCCACGCCGACGGCGGCGCGTCGGCGCAGGCGCAGGCCGACCCCGCCACGGAGCAGGAGGAGTTCGAGTTGCTCTCTGGCTCTCTGCAGGAGCGCGCACAGGCGCGCGGACGCGGCGATGGAGGCGCGGCGGGCGAGGAGCAGGAGGCGGCTGGGGCGGGGGAGACGCGGGCGGAGGAGGCGGCGGAGGAGAAGGCGGAATCGATGGAGGAGGCGACGGAGGAGGGGGGCGAGGGGGCGGAGGGGGCGGAGCCGATGGAGGAGGCGGGGGCAGAGGCGGAGGAGGCGGAGGCGGAGGCGGAGGCGGAGGCGGAGGAGATGGAGGAGTCGGAGGATGAGGCGGAGCAGGAGGACGCAGAGGACGACGCGGAGGAGGGCGAGGGCGAGGGCGAGGGCGAGGGAGAGGGCGAGGGCCGCAGCGGCGGCGGCGGCGGCGAGGCCGACAGCGAGGACGATGTGGACAGCGAGGAGGACGACACGCCGCTCTCGTCCCGGCCGAGCCTGGTCTAAGTGGTGGTGCGGTCTGTCTTAGTCTAGGTGTGGGAGAGAAGGACACATTGCTGTGGTGGGGGTGTGCAGGGTAGGGGGTAGGGTCGAGCAGGCTTGCGCAAGTTCATGAAATCGTGGTGTGGGAGAGAGAGTCACACAGAGGGGTCGTTCCCCTGTGTGCTGTGTCCCTGATCGTCCTTACAAGATCCTGCTCGTGCAGGTGGGGACCCAAGATCCCACAGTCTTCTCCCACCCCTTGTTGGCAGCGGCGGGCACGTCGCCCCATGGGCATGGCGCGCGTAGCTCATATTGACAGTCAGCTGACAGGGACGCAGGGACCGCGGCCGCGGATCCGGCAGCGGACGGGGGGGCTGGCGCGCAAAGCGGCGCCGGCCACCGTCGGGCCGCCGGGAATGCAGTGCTGGCGATTTACGGGTATATAGCCCCCCAGAACAATCAAACACTCTCCGGCCAAAAGCAAAACAATCAAACGGTGGGGTACGTGTACGGCTTTAAGATTTACCACCCGCCTCGGGGTACTAGGGTTGCCTAACGTTAGGAGCTGAACAGTGTTGCTAGTGTTAACAGTAACAACAGAACAACAGTGGGGCTCCCCAACAACAGTAGCTAACGTTAGGCCAGCTGAACAACAGTAAGGAAGGCCTGGCAGTGACCCACGACGATCTCTAGTGTCCAGTGCGGGTAATACCCGAAATACCTGAAAAATCCCAGGTATTTTCGGGGTTTACCCGTTTTTTTTTGCCATTTTCTGCTTGCTGGCCGCTGAACAACAGTAACAACAGTAACAAACAGTACACGTATTCCAATCGACCCCTCCTAGGGCTGTATTCTACCCGTATTGGCAGTATTCCGGCCGTATTCCACACGTATTCCAGAATACGTATTCCAAACGAACGAAATTTCTTGTTGGTTAATAAAAATCTCTCTCTCTTCCAAACGAGGCCCCAAAAGCGACGTATTCCGTATAAAATTTTCTTCGCTCCGCGAATTCAGAGAGCAGGCAGGGGGGTTTCGGTGGTCTTCTAGTATCAATCAATCAATCAATGGTGGTTCTTTCTGTGTGTCGCTCCTGTGTGACCGTCACCGCCCGTCCCGCGTTGGGAGAGAGAGAGAGCGTTGGTTGGTGTCCCATCAATCAAGAGAGATTTTTACCAATACCAAACAAATCTAACACTCGTGTGTCAATCAACCAATCAATCAATCAATAAGTTCACAGACCTTGTTATTGAGAAGAAAATACCCGCTTACAACCCAAGCCGAGGGGAACGTGTGTGTCTCGCGCCTTGTCGTTGCTATCTCTCCCTTCTCGATCTTTGTGTGTTTTATTTGTACTGTGCGATTTCGGGGCCCGGGGTTGTGCGTTTACGTGAATAGCGTCTGGGATAATACCGCCCTGGGGGGACCACGCCGAGAGGGGAAGCACTGCTCGTGAAGCAGAGGATGCCGTTCGAGCCGCTTCGAGGGCTCGCCGGTGCGTGCCGTACCGTCAGCGGCGCGCGTGGCGGCGCACCAGCCTTGTGGGGAATCAGCCTCTCCGAGTGCGAGGCGCTCTGTGGGGCTAGCGGAGCGTGTGTGGCAGCGCAGCACGCATCCACACCAAAAAAGCGAGGCAGGGTGGACATGGCATGCGAGCTGATTTTGGCGCCTGCACGCGTCTCTCACACCCTGCCGCTCGCTAACACCGTGTGCTTGCTCAAACGGGCCGAGCCGTCGCCACCAGCTTTGTCGCAACCGCGTGCCGACTCGCTGCAGCCGCCGCCGCCTCCGCCGCTGCCGCTGCCGCCTCCGCCGCCTCCGCCTCCGCCGCCGCCACCAACTTTGCCGCCATCGCCGCACGCTCCGCCTCCGCCACCGCCCTCGCCTCCGCCGCCACCGCCTCCTCAAACCCCCCCCGACGCCTGGATCCTGCACGAGCGGCGCAACTGCTGGTGGGACGGCCACGGCGCGGAGGAGGTGGACTCGCCGCGAGGGAGCGACGTGCCGGGCGCACGCACCCTCGCCGAGTGCAAAGCGGCGTGCAAGAGCGCGGCAGCTTCTGGGCTGCCGTTTTGCGAGGGCGTCGTTTGGAAGCGCCGTGAGGGGAAGTGCTACCGCAAGACGCGCATCATAGTGGGGCTGTGCGAGTTCGATACGGCATTTGACCTGCACTTGCGGTCGGCGCCGCCGCCGCCGAACCTGCCCGCGCCTCTCGTCGTGGCGCGTCTCAACGAGCGGTTCGCCCAGGGCCGCCCGAGCGCGACCTTTGCGGACGCTGGTGTCGTGATGAATGCGTTCGACCAGTACGACCGCCTCATGGACGACGCGCATGCGCCGTGGTCGGCCACAGGCAGCAGCAGGCCGGGGTGGGGGGATCGCTGGTCGGTCTCTGTGACCAACGCCGCGACCCCCTTCTTCTACATGGGCAATGACGGCTCGCAGCTCGGCACCATCGATGCGTCTGCGGGGATGGTGCTGGCGCCCGGGCCGGCGCAAGAGGCGATCCTTTGCTCGTACACGACGGATGTGGGAACGTCGAGGTTCATGTGTGACCCGCCGGGCGTGTCACCCACGTGCACCCCCGGCTGTCCCGACTGGATCGACAGGAACTCCGATGGCTACCGCGGCAAGGCCGGCCTCGAGGGCATGCTGCGCCACCACCTCGAGCGCCGCGGTGACTGCGCGCCAAGGGAGCGCGCAGCACGCGGCCTCGGCCCGTGCTGCGACTGCTGCACCTGGCCAAAGTGCCAACTCTACAACGAGATTATCCTCGAGGGCAAAGCGTGCGAGGCGGCCCTCCCGACGATCGTCGAGGCCTTCTTCTTTGTTTCCGACACGACAGAGGCGGTAGCGAGACTGGCGGCGGCGGATCGCTCACGCCCCGGTGGCAAAGCCCTGGCGTTCTGGGCCCGCCGATTGTTCCAGAAGCAGTTCAACATCACGCTGCCCATCGTCGGCGTGGATCTTAGCCGCCCTGCCGGACCCTTCTTTGATGGCGACTCGCGCTGGGATGTGCCGCCACTGCCGCCGCCGCCGCCGCCGCCCATCCACCACATCGGCCGAATGAGCAGCAGCATGTGCTCCGACCTCATACGGGACCCGAAGCACAAGTTCTCGGGCCTCTGGGGCACTGGGTGGGATTACTGGGCAAACAGGAAGTATCGTTGGCCTGGGCAGAGGGCGTGCTGGCAACTCGAGACCACTAACTGGTGGGATTGGGTAGCCACAGGGCCCAAATGCCAGCAGGACTGGGGCAACAACTTGGACGCACCCACTGTGTTTGGCTTTGCGCGGAGCATGACCAGGTTCTGTGATCAGCGCGGAGGTTCTGGAGGTGACCCGGGCAGCGCCTGCCGATCGGCGGGGTTCAACATCCTGCGCATCGGAAAGTGGGACATGTGTCGAAACACGGAGTGGATGATCTGCGTTGTGCTCGGCGAGGCATGCCAGGCTGGCCGCCGTTGCGAGACCGAGATCATTTTCACCGAAGCCCCAGGGGAGTTGAGCATCGACGAGTTCAACTCACGCGAGGGCTACTTTACAGAGGACGATGTCTACTACCTCGAAGTGTGCCTACTGAACGAAATGTGCAGCAACCACGACGATATCTTCACAACGCGGGATGCAGGATCGTTCTTTTGCCAGTTTGACGCGGGACGCTGGCGCAGAGCCGCGAGGGATATCGAGCACCACCTGAAGTGATCCTTCCTGCATATCGATCGTGTTCGTGCTTCGTCCAGACAGCGGTGTAACTTTACGTTTTAGATCTTTGTTGAGTACAGGGAGTAAGGCGAGACCCATAAATTACGCCTACCTGCTATGTACCATGCGCACAGCTATGTCGTATACACCCCAGTGTACTCTCGGTCGCTGGTCGTGTCGGTATCTCGGGCTCTCGGCGCCGCCCGTCTCGGAGCTCCCGGCGGAGATCAAGAAACGGGACGGCGGCGGCGGCGGTGTCTCCTTATACCCCCAGCCTCCCCTCCCCCGCGCCGCTCCTCTCTCCCTCGACCGGTAGACTCTCCCAGCCACGTGGCGCGCTGCCCGCACCGGGCACCCCCCCGCACCCCCGCCTCGCGCCCCCGCGAGCCCCGCGGGTAATGCCTCAGGTGTTCTTGGTGCCGATGCCCACCCCCTGGTCGGTGGAGATGCGCTCCTATTCACAGTCGCGGCGTGTGAACAGGGCGGGGTCCACGTCCCCCCCCCACCCCTCGGGAGTGGTGTGGCGCGCTCCATCGCAGTGTCATGTAGCCGCGCAGCTCCTTGCCAATCACCTGGCGGACGACGTGTGAGGAGCGGTTAGCGGTGAGGGGTCGTCGTGCAGACACGCGGCTCCTTGCCAACCACCTCCACGGGGTGCGTATCTCCCCCTATCTCCCCTATCTCCCCCTATCTCCCCCTATCTCCCCCTATCTCCCCCTATCTTCCCCTATCTTCCCAGTCACCTCGACGGGGTGCGAGCGGATCTCTTCTACGCTGGGCGGCGAGCGCGCCGTGAGCGTGTCGGTTGGAGCCGCGCACAGCCTCGCTCTCACCGCCGACGGCGTTGTCTGGAGCTGGGGCTGCGGGCTGAGTGGCCGCTTGGGCCACGGCGACGAGCAGGACCAGCTGCTGCCGAAGAAGGTCGAGGCCTTGGCGGAGCGGCGTGTCGTCGCTATCTCTGCCGCCAACCACAGCCTCGCCCTCACCGCCGACGGCGCAATCTGGAGCTGAGGCCGTGGACTCGGTGGCGAGCTGGGCCACGGCGACACGCAGAGCCAGCTGCTGCCGAAGAAGATCGAGGCCTTCGCTGGGCAGCGCGTTGTCGCTGTGTCGGCTGGACTCGACCACAGCCAGGGGTTGTAGCGTACTCCCTCCCCCCGGAGAGCCAACCCGCCGCCACTAAGGCGTCCGTGCGTCTCCCGTGTTCAAATTCGATGTCCACAAACCCCGTCCGCGGGTCCGGCCCCGGTCTCACCCTCTGGAGAAAAGCCCTCACCACGTCGTGGTGCGTTTGGTTCGCGAAGAAGTGCCGGTCTCGCCGA